ACGCTCGATTGGCAAGAGCCATATTCGTCCTGTGCAACTGAACTGAACTGAACTGAAAACAATGAGAAGAACTGACCTTGAGCTCAAGGTCAGTACAACAACAACCTTGAGTCGTACGACTTATGGCACGTCGGTCGGATATTCTGCTTCGTGGACTCTTCCTGTTTTCCCTTGGTGTATTTTTGTTCCTCGTATCTGATGCACTTCAGGGGATTCGCGGTGGCGTTGTTAATCCCGATCCTTCTCTGTGGGGACCTTTGAGTCCGAAATTATGGATTCCGTTGGGATGTGGATTTGCCTCCGGTAAGTACATTTTTAGCGCGATCATGTTTTGTTGTCAGCTCTCATAGGCTTACTCTCGCCCTTCATTGACTTCAAACTAGGAATCTCAGATGTGTACAACAATGAATGGTCGTCGGTTCTGCGTTGTGTAGCCCTATTTTTTGGACTTAATCATGCAACTGTGCGAATGGATTTCGCATCATATTTTCAGCTTGCCGTAACAGTATTTGGACTTTCCTTCGGATTATGGTGGTTCTTCGACCGATCTCGTGTAGGCTTGGGTTTTGGAATGACAGTCGCTCTAATCGCAACAATCCTCGGTCAATCGTTTGTATGGCGGCGTCTTCTCCGATTTTCGCATCCCATAATGGCGGCTTGGATTCCTTGCCTAACTTTCTGTGGTGGCGTCACAATGGTGCTTGTCGGTCGACAACTAGCAAAACCTGACGTGCTTGCGCGTTCAAAGCGGAAAATCGACTAACTGGTCGGTGGTTCCCTTCTACCTGACCTGACTCATTTTGTACAGTTCCCCGAATACCATTCATTTCCCCTTCATCTTTCTGTATTCTAGGTGTGATCAATTATTGGTTGCAGTTCAGCTTGTTCATAAAATTTTGCCTTTATGCCATGTGCATGCCATATTACATCAGCCTCATGTGCTTTCTGCGTTTACTCTCTGCGCCCTTATTTCAGAAGGTGGTATCTCATGTCATCTCTATCAAATACTTTTGTTCCAAAGAGTGTCAGTACTCTCAATGAGCATCCTTTGGTTTTTGTGCCATTGTATTTCTGCTGAGGATCATGTTCGTTGCGTGCCAACTGTCTGTGAATAGAATCCTATTTCAGAAATGTTTTCATAAAAATGTGTCATATAATTCCCCAGTGGCGGTATTTAAAACGGTCGGTAATTTTCGTCTTATAACGTGATGAACAGCAGATGAGACGGCTTAATATGTCCAGCAAACCGTAATGCGGGTCTGCAAGCTTTTTGGTCAATGCGATACCAGCAAGTTATCTGAATCAGAGCAAGCAATGGTCTCAGGGATTGGCAAACAGGGCCTTCGAATGACCATGCCTGACTTGCAAAATATTAGGTAGCAGGATGAAAACCGCATTCTGGTGTCCGTTTACGTAAGGCCTAAACCTCTGGGATGTTGCTCATCGTACATAGGGATTAATCCGTTCCATCATCTAACCGAGCTGATGA